GATCGTTGAAAGACATCTGTTTAATGAGTCGTAGGGTGAAGGGGGGGCGCTTGTCCGTTGAACAATTTCCAGGATGCCAACAAGTGATATATAAAGGATGCAAAAATGAATTGACGGTTCAAAGGAATTTGGCATGCGGTGAAAATTTGATTTCAAGAAGTTGGAGATTAAAGAGGACTGGCATGTAGAGATGTTTCCAAAAAAAGACTCGAAGCTTTGAAGGAATTTAGGATGCAGGAAGGTTAACACAATTTACGATGAAAAGGTATTCAAACAAGCTTGGTTTGTTACTCGGTTCAGCAATTTCTATGATGCAAACATGTTCCAAATAATTCTGGGATGTGGACTTGAAGGTTCAACTAATCTTGGCTAAAAAATAAGTTCAATACATTTGGTATAAAGACGGGCTTCGGTAATGTTAATATGAAAAGGACTGTAACGCTAAGGTGTTTGTTAAACAACAATCATTTCGGGCTAAATAAACAGACTTAAGAGTTTCAAACAAATTAACAGCGACAAAAGATCCTGCAAAACAACAAGCTAAATTAACGGCTTTCCAAAGCTTCTCCTATTAAATCTTCTCCGGATCTTAATTCCAATCCTTTCAAACCTTCTACTTCAAATGCTTTAAGACCCTTAATCCTAAGCTCATCCTTCCCTCCCTCCCTGCCTTCTTTCCTTCCTTCCTTCCCTCCCTTCCTTCAATTTCATTCCTTTTCATCCTTCTCATTATCTTTCTTCCTTCTCCTCTTCCTCTCTCCACTTCTTATCCTCTCGTCCTTTCTTCCTTCCTTGCCTCAATTTCTTTTCTGGTGCCCATCTCCTGCCCCTTCTCTTGGTCCAAAAAAGAACATCTCAGGCTTCGGCTCCAAACAAATTCAACAAGTACCGATAATAAATCAAACAATTTGCTGTTTGGATTTAACATCCATTACACAAATAAAACAAAAGTAAACGGAGAAATGATCACAATCTTCAACATTCTTATTCATAAAGCTTCGACACAATGAACAACACATCATCACTTGTCGTATCTCCATGCAATTCCAAATATAATGTGCATATTTGTTTTTAAGCATATCTTGCTTCTTGTACCTTATCTTTTCAATATAAAATAATGTTCGATCAATGGACGGCAATTTGAACTTTTTGCATGTTGTTCTTCACATGACCAAGGGTTTGGATTCTATTTCAGTGGTTTTGGCGCCTTGCAATGCTTGGCCCTGGCGTGCAACACAGAACATAAATTGTACTGCTTTGTCTGGTCCGGCCGTTGAAACAAAGAACGCAGCTTTGATTACCGTCCTTGGTCCTTGCCGCGCTTACCTAAAATAGACATTGTAACTGGGCATGCACTGGCTGATGCCTTGCTTCAAGAGGTTCTGTTGCTTTGCGCAGCGTTTCAGCCACTTTGGCCCTTTGCCTGCAAAAGGGAGTGGTCATGGCTTGCCTTTGACCCCCCAGAACCATGTTGTGAGGATGGCAAATGAACACATAGGTACTGTGTTTAGAAAAACATTGAAAACTTACAAATCAAACTTGCCTTACACCAATAACATATTGCAACTAGGCACCAACAGCAAATATTTCCTATTTTGCAAAAAAGGTTGGATATTGGTTGATATTGCGCAAAATACAGCCAACGAGTTTTGCATAGCACTGTCGACAGTTTGTCATCAAATGCCGACACATGTGGCAATTTCACACAAATGGCCGCTAATGGTGCAAAGCCGCGAACGAAGAACAAGAAAAACAGAAAAGATGCAGAAAAGCTATAGGAAACATGAACAACAAACACATAGATGCGGCTGGAGGTTTTGTAGGTCAATAGATGTTGCTGTTGTCTTGAACGCTTGATTGATCCGATGTCTTCGTAGGTTTGTTGGTTGTTTCTGGATTGTCCTTCTGTGATATCTGATATTTCATAGGTGTTGCTGCAAGGCATTTGAGGTGCAATAACCGGCTTTGAGACTGATGTGGATGATTATTTAGTGGGCTTCTAGTTTGAGCCTCTTCAATAAAGGGGACCCTCGGTATTGGCTAGCATATGCAATTACAGTTCAACAATTGAAGCCTGAATTCCGTAGATGCCTCAGTGGAGCTTGGCAGGTGGACCGGAACTGGCAACTTGAAGAACGCGGGCAGTGCCGTGTGGTTCTGTCAGCTCCAGTACTTGGAGCGGTGTCAGCTCTTTCCATTTTATGGGGATGGTGGTGTTTTAAAGGAGCGGTAGCTTTGAGGTTTGCAGCCATGCTTCGCCCAAGTGAATTGTTGAATTTGACCCGCCGGGATCTTGTGTTTCCAGCTGACGAACATATTGAGATATATTAGAAAACCGAAGATGTGCCAGGAGACAGCATGCACGCGTAGATGATGATTCGTTTTAAGGACGCTTGGTGTGTGTTTGGAGATCTGCCTTTAGATAAGCCACCTCTTTGCTGCTTCAGTCGCCTTTCGTTGACAAAGGAATACATTGTTTGATCGGTTGGGGGTGCCCCCCTGAGTAATTCTTCGGGTTTCTGGTGCATTTAAGTACCTTCAGTCGACAAGCACTCAGCAGATTCAGGGACGACGGAGTCAGATCAAAACACTTGAGCATAATCAAGAGGTGGGCCGCCCCAATTGCTATTTTTAAACCTGAGTGAAGAGAGTTGGAGCAAGATCCCTTTTCTTGGGTTACATTGAGGCCTGATTCTACAACAGACCTTTCCTTGGCAATTCGCGTGCTTTTGCGAAGCAGTGGAATGAAGGCTAATTTGATGTGTGGACTGATTGTTGTCGCTACCGATCTTTTCGCTTGAAGAGCTTGACCCGGCTACACTACACATTAGATTTGCAAATCCATTGGACAGCCTTGGCATTTTGGTGTGATCACATGCACCTTGCAAGAAGCAAGGATGGGCAGCTTTGTCATATCATACCATGTCCTTGCAAGAATACACACAATCAGTATCACGACATTTCATAGAATGAATCTTTGTCATATCTTACCAAAAGAAGTTGATGATTCATGATAATTGAAAATCATTCAACTTTTGACCTAATATGGTAATATTGGGTGCAAAACAACAAATACTTGAACACAAAATCACTTGGTGGTCCATTTTCAGATCAAATATGCTTTCTGAATGGAGGTCAGGTTGAGGCCTGGCTGAAGCACAAACTGTTGCTGTTGGTGATTCTGTCGTCATTGGGGAATGGCCCTCTGTAGACTCTAGATGCAAAAGGTGACCTTCCTTGATCACGTTTATGCCCAAGTGCTTTTATCACAATTGCAACTGAACACGATCCCCACCTCGGATTGATTCCTCCTCCAGCACTTGCATTTGCAAGCTCTTTGGATAAAGATTAAAGCCTGGCAAACCACAAGAACTCTTACAAAATGACCACCTGCAAGAATGAGAAAACAAGCACGTTCACCAGCAAAAAGATTTGCTCCCAATGGGTTGAGGTGCCAATGTGAGCAACAAAAACGTGCTCGTGCAAATGTTAAATGCTATGGAACAGAACACCTCAATGACAATGGGCTCTTGCCAATGCAAAAAACAAAGTGCTATCAGAGACAGGTGCACTGCACCTTGAGAGGCGATTGGTTTTCACTCTATATGGAGCCGGAGCCACCCACGACGCTGTCACCGCACTCCGGCACACAGCTCATCTCCTAGCGAGGGGCAGGGCGTAATGGAGCAAGTGGCCATAGGCTGTTCTCCAAAGCCACGAAAATCATGGTAACCCCAGTGTCTCAAATGAAAAGCTATGATTTCCCATCAGTGCGCTGGCAACTGACTGGAGCTTCTTGGAATTTGTTGCGCCAAATCCATCAAACACAAGAAAGTGCTTGGCACCCCAGTCAAGAACCTATGTGGATGCTAAGTATGCTCATGTGAACCTCGATTCTCGCATGCCCAGGCAACAAAGAATGCACAATGAGGATTGCAATGAGGATTTCAGAAGAGGAGCCGTTGTTGATCGAATTTCCGTCCATCCTTCGACCCTCATAACATCATGCAAGGGTTGCTTTATAGCTCTAACTAACCCTCACAGCTGCAGCTACAATATAGAGCCTGTAATTCTTATTCCACACCAAATACACCAAAAACAAACAAGCAAAAGAAGTAGATGAACATAGAGGGTGAGCTTGGGGCGCATGAAAACTGATCCAGGTCCCTTCTTTGGGAGCAAGTTACCATTTTGCCCAAGAATCTGCTGGCGGAACCGACTTGACCGTTCCTAGTATGTTTCGAACTCGCTCGGCGCCTCGATCTCCTTGCATAGCCTGCTGCAAAGCTGTGAGCCTCGCACTAGGGTGGACAGCCACCAAGCCAACCCAAGCTCAACTTTTGGCAGACTTGAGATTCACCAAGGCACGGTAAGTCTCTGCCTGCAGTGTGTGAATTGACCTGAGCCAAACAATCCTCCAAATGAGGTGTCAGCAACACGTCGTGCCTACACCCAAACAAAGCGACAAGGCGAGGGCATTGAGAAGCGGTCTTCTGCTCAAGTAATGCTTGGAGAACATCAGGCTCTTCATGTCTTTTTGGGTGTGCAATTGAGGAGAATCTCTTTGTGGGATTGCTCATGCAGCTTGCCATGGTGGCCACAGCAGTCTTACAAAAAAATAACTGTGAACACTTTTTGGGCAGTCTGTATTTTGTGCGAGGGTTGGCCTAGTGCCAGTTTTTCAGCTGTTGCCAGTTTGTGAGCAGTTTTCCTCGGTCTTATACACTTCCCACTAGTAGGCCTGTTCACCTTGCAAACACGGAACACACATCATAATTTTGGACAAGAGTGCACCGAAAACACCTCCTCCCCAAGCTGTCAATTGAGCGCGGGGCCGATTGAGCTGCTGAAGCTTCTTGTCACAATCCGAGAACTCCCTGGTGCCCCATGGGACTCCATATGCATCTTTTTCTTGACACATTGTATTTTGCTTCCTACTGGAAACATTTTGTATTTGTGAATTGTTTTCTTCTGGGTTGCAACATTGGTCTTGACTTGGTGGACAAAGCAATGAACTTTAAGTTGGCCCTCAGTATCTCTTCGAGCATATATAAAATGTTTCGTCTGACTGGCTCTTTGGAGAGCTGGCAGTTGTGGTGGTTTTATTCAGGCGGAACTGAACCAACCCGAGAAAGTTGGGTTAAGGTTTGCGTGGCACTCATCTTATGCCGGTTTGAAGAAAGATTCCTCTTCCAACATGTTGTTTGTATTTCAAGTTGAAACCAAGCCACTACCAATCCAGTGTGCATTCCCAAGGGTTGATCAAAGGCCTACCTCGAAAATGCATCTGAAAATTCAGTCGATGGAAGAATCCCAAGCCGTCAAAGCTCACAAGATCACAAAAGGAAGCAAAGAAATGGAAGAAAGAAGGAACCTCTAGAAAGTACAGAGGAACTAACTAAAACCGCACAAACAGGAAAGGTAAACACATTGAAAGACCGTAAGAACGCCTAGGAACCAAATCAATCGAACCCGAGCCCAGCGAACCAGATACTAGTAGCATCTAGTAGCTACTAAAGCTACGAGCTTCCTACCCTCTCGGCCCCACTCTTACCGATGTCCCCAAAAGAAAACCAGATTCTGTTTTGAGCCAATTCTTTCAACCCACTTGCAGCGCCTCAAGCCAGAGATCTCAAAGCCAGGCATGGCATCGTCACGGACCACCAGCGGCTTGACCTGCGGCATGGGTCAAACACCAAGCCACTCCGGTGAATTTGCAAGAAGATATAGACCATAGACCTGTCTAGTGTTGCGTTAGTTGTCCTTGGATTTCTCGACAATTGGATCTTGCACAGTTGTTCAATAATGCACACTTTACATTCCTGAGGCCATGCAACCTTTCCTTCCCATACAACTACCTGAAGAGAGGGCACCGGCATCCACTCGCTTGTGCTCCGTACATACAAATCAGTATATCATATCTGGTCTGTACTCACCAGTGGCAAAAGCTCCCCTTCTCTCTGAACCGACACAAACTCTAGAGGACGCATCGCTACAGAACTTCTTTTCTGACAATCGCTGATCGCCCTTCTATCTTTCTCAAGCCCTCAAGTAGAAAATAATCTGGGCATATCTGGGTAGAGCAGGGCAGAATTGCTCGAGCTGTCAAAATTTGCTGGTTGAATAATCAAAAAGCGATACACTCCCCAATTAAAACGTACCCCTAGCAGCAGTGAGGACCCAAACTAACATATCCCAAACCTCTCCGGTGTTTCCTGGGGAATTGCATGTAACTTTTGCTTTGCGTAGCTTCAAAAAAGGTCCAAAAACACTGCTAACCTGGCCTGGGGCAACCATGAATATTGCAATTTTAGTCAACCACATGACCATTTTAGGGGGCTATGTTAGTCCTTGCGACTAGGAATTTTGCAATTCTGGAAGAATCAATGCCCCTTTTGGAGGGCTATGTGAGTCTTTGCACGTGCTGAAACAGCGTAACATGGCCACCCCCAAATGAATACAGTGAATGAGACCCATGATAGCCATGCTCCTGGTGCATGTGAACAGTTGTTCTTCAAAACCCAACCATCTGAAGTCTAGAGCTTCCAACATCTTGCTTCTTTGAGGGATATTAGCGATGAAAATATATGTACATATTGTCATTTCAAAGCCATGAAACTTGTCAATTTTCCCCGGCATCAATTATCATGGCCGTTTCCATGTCGGAGGATTTGCAACACATTTTCCCCTGCAGACTGTTGCTAACATGTCCTCCTCACCGATACCACGTTCAGGGCATGGGTCATGGACCTGTTTTTCCATGCTTCTCCTAGTTGCTAACATATCCTCGTCCCAGACACCACTTGTGCCAGTTCAGAGTCATGAAACTTGTCAATGTTCCCCGGCATCCACTAACATGGCCGTTTCCAATTTGAACAATTTGGAATACTTATCCCTGCGGACTCTTGCTAACATATCCTCCTCACAAACACCACTTGTGCCCTTTCAGCATCTGTCGACTAACGTTACCAAAAAACATCCACTTTAGGGGGATACGTTTTATTTGGGGAGAGTAAATGGGTCTGGTCTGGCAATGAAAAGTAAATGAATGGTTCACAATACCGAACCTAGTTTCCACATTTCTGACCCCAGTCAACTTCAGACTCTGTAGTCCTATTCATATTCATGCGATCACTGTCCACACGCGGTCTATTGAGTTCACGCATCATTAACTCCACCGATCCTTGGCATGTGCTAAATCTGGGTTCGTCTCAAAACGAGGCGTCCTTCTTCCTATTCGGCACGCCCGCCTGTTCCTTCCTTCGCCTAGCCTACCACTCCCAAAGTGCCACAAGTCCGTGCCTCCTGGATCTCACTACACAAGACTTTCACCTCCAGCCCTTGGAGAGAGGCCGCAGAACGGTCATTTGTTTGAGTTGAGTGATCAAGCAGCAAAGTCCCTCAAATGCCTGGTGAGAGAAACAACCAAAACCTTGGTGGAACACCGGATATCTTTTTCCGGGAACTCAGTGAGTCTCTTGGCGTTTTCTTGTCCCTTTGGACGATTTCGGTAACCGAGCTGGGTCCTCCAAGTCCTTACTTTGCTCAATATAGAAACTTCCATCACCAGCGACTGCTAAGTGAATCGCCATCTTCGGGACTATACATCCCAAATGAACAGGAACGACGTCCAATTTCTGATACATGGTTTAGTGATGTTTAGTGAGATTCACTTTTCACTTCTGTATCAGTCCAGATTCCTCTGCAACTACCCATGTCAGTTTCCAAACAAGCCTACACACCGCTATTATCTTCATTATATCTAAAGCAACAAATGCGAATAGCACAAGACTGGTGGAAGTGAGGCTTCGAGAACGAAACGACGAAGCCCGAGGACAAACTGGGTGCGTCGTCTGTTGCCTTCGGTCTCGGTGTGTCCGAAGCGGTTAGGCTTCCCTGCAATAGAGATGACCTCGTCGATGCAGCTTGTCGGAAAGAAGAGAAACCAGTCAGAGGTTTGAAGAAAAGAGGGCATGAAGCACAGAACGCCCTTTCTTTGTGGCGACACCCTATGCTTCTGGAGGATCTGGGTGAGAGATCTGGCAAATCCTTACCCAAGGAACAGCTCTCACACTTCTCAGGATCACTGCAACAAGCAAACTGGGCAAGAGTATTTGCGAAGGTGGAAGAGCTCGGAGACATGCCAAACATTGGCACTAGTCATAGAAGATCGCAAGTTGAAATAAGAATGCGTGGAAGAAACATGAAGAAAGGAAAACGACCCAGAAAAAGAACTTTATGTGAAACCCTGGTAGGCTACCGTGGAAAACAAAGGAAGGAGAAAGGCCCGTTGGCTGGAAGAACCAGCTCTTAGAATTCCTGCAGCCAAGCGATCGCCCCGACTCAGTGGAAAACTTGATCTGAGGACGAAACGGCCAGTCTCTGAGTCTTCAGTGAGATTGGAAGAGAATAGGCTGATCGGCACCTGGCAAACACAGGCAAGAATCTTCCTCCGACAATTTTGAGGACTTAGAACAAAACTGGACCTACGCTTCACAACAGGAGCCTTTTCTCATTCCGTTCAGGTGGAATGAGCACGTCACGAAAGAGCTTGAAGACACAGACTTCAAAAATGGCAATTTGTGAGTTCTACCCTGTTTTACCAAAACAAAGCCACTTGTTTGGGGCTTCATCCAAGGTTTTTTCTGCCCATCTGGTCCACCTCTCGCAAAACAGTTTCTCCGCTGGAAGCACCTTCAAATCCTCGGCCAGGACCCTCTCAAAGGCCGCGCACGCCACCTTGTGCACCCAACCAGCAACCAGCACCCAGTGTGGCCGCTCCAACCCCAAGACTTTGCCATTCAAGGTGGGTGTGCAGTGTAGGGTTATACATACCCAGATTGTAAAAGAATGTGTTCTCCATGGAATGGCGGCAAGAAGGACCGCCGGAACCTTGCTTGCAAGTGCTCAACATCAGGGAGAGGGTGGTAAATAGAAGGAACAACCAATAACATGCAGTTCGTTCTGCATGCACACAATCACGGACATGAAAAACACAACCACAACAGAAATCACAGTCGCACACAGCGATTGTTTCGATCCTTTGCGCCACGATGTTGAGTTCATCCCTCCCGACTGTCCCGACTCCCACCTCCCCCCGCCTCGAAGGCTTCAGCATCGTTGGCCTCCGAGAAGTCGCGGAAGTCTTCCAAACCCTCGGCCTTGGAGGCGTTTCGAAGGACATCTGACATCTGGAGTCGGTTTTGAGACAGGTTTACATGATTTTACATGTGCAAATGGTGGCTGTGGGGTACCTGGGATGTTTGAACCAAAATGGCATCTTTTGGCAAAAACGCCAAAGGTCCAACTACCCTGATCTGCAAGCCTGCCTGGACAATGAATATGCATCCCAAAGCTCAAGCTCGGAAATCCCTCAGTAAATCCCTCAGTGAGGGCATCAAGGAAATATCATGTTCTTATGAGTTTGACCCCCAAGAACTGCCTAGTTGCTTGTGGTGAGACTTCCTTCGTGAGTCGTTTGCCCCGAGCTGAGTGCTGGGCCTCTACTCGCAGCAGCACCTCATGCAGGAGCTCCTAGCAAGGCTCAGTCGCACAGTTTTGGAAAAGCCTCGCTAGTCTGAGTATAAACTTCTGAAGCTGCCCGGTGCTGCTCTGGTTTGAAGCTCAGTTCTTACTTGACAAATTTGGATCTGGGTCGAAACTCCCCCAAAGGCTGACTGGAAGGCTGAACATCCCCTAACTTCCCACCGATTGAAACAAAGTTATACAAATATTGACTCAATTGACTATACCTACCACATTCTTGACACAGAATTCAGCAATTCACAGAACATGATCTCCATGACCTAGCAGCGCTTCCGTTTCGAGCTGTGGGGAAGTTCTTGATGCATTGATACTGAAAAGCTTCTTGTGAGAAGTCCCTTTTAACTCGTTGAGTTACACTCTTTTCGTTCTTTTTTTAAAAATCATTTTCCTCTTTTCAATTCAGTGTCTTTCTCGCCGACGAAGCGACTACTCACCTCCGCAGGGTCGAAGCAGCTGGACTCGCTCCAGCGACCTCCGGGCAAGCATTCCTGAATGGCCGAAGTCCATTTGGGAAGCAACTCGTGCACTTGGTGCACTTGGTGCACTTGCACTTCCCTTCTGTGGAACTGTGTGGAACAAGGAAGTTGAGAACTCGCTTGAGATACATTGCACCCATCTGGCCGATACAAGTTGTGATCGAACCTCCTTTTGTTGATTGACTGTGTTGGTCGCAAGAAGGGTTTAGAGTTGAAGTTGACACAATGTGGTGTCCTTACAAAGACTTATGACCATCTCGTCAGGGCATTGTGCAAGTTGGCATTAAACACGGGTATGGCACACCCACACCCATCAGGAGCCTACAAATTTTGAGGCACATTATCTATCTTCCCACGAAAGGATCATGAAACACATCATCTTTCTGCCAAGGCGCAATGCGCCCTGCGGGATGCAGCCTGGAGAGCTCCAATGAATTAAAGCTCAATCGAAGTGCATGAGCGATCTCCGAACTTCAAACAAATAGAACGGTCCGTGGTCAAGTGAAACCAAGCGAATTTGAAGCTGGCCGTCTTGTGGTCACAGTGCACAGTGTCAGCTCCACGGCATCTCAAGCAAAATCTGCGTGCCTGGTATTCAGCTACTCCGGGGATAACAAACACTGCTTGGTCAATGGATATCGCTTATTGTTGGTACTCCTGTTCATAGGGCAGAACCTCCAACACTTTGGATTTAGCGGTTGCGCATCTTTGATTCTTTGCAGCCCCCTCTTTTTCAATCTTCCCTTCTCTCGGAAACACATTCGTGACTCCTCCCGGTAGACACGCCCCACCCTGGCTGGCAAACCACCGCACAGGTCTTGCCCACCGGAGTGCCAGCCTGGAAGGATTGAGATAATCGAGGGAAAGAATGCTGCTCCGAAAGCTGAGACCTGTCTCCAATGTCTCCATTTGAACGTTAAACATTTGCTCCAAACTGAAGTGTCCTCTGTGGTAAGACGCCGTGAATATCATAAACCCAACATTGGTTGGACGTAACTACCTTAATCTGGCGAAAGGAAAAGAGAAAAGGATAACAGGTCAAATAAAAGGATCCATCACTCCATGCTTCAGCCAAAAGGGTCCAGGCACAATGCTTCAAGCTGATGGCGCCACCAATGGCCTCACGATGGCTCGCCGTCGGACTCATTGGGTCACCGTTTCAACACGTGAAGCTGTGAAGAGATAGCATCTGCAACAGGTGACATCACCGTGCAACATGATGCAAAATGCCTGTTTCTCAGCACGTGTCAACACTTTTCAGTGAGTAAGACCGGTCATGTGGCTTCAGCTGGAACACCGAGCGCCGCGAGCGCCTCTGTGGGAGCTGAACAAAATGCCACGCACTCTGTTGGCAGCCACACCTAGGCTGCGGCACACAGGTGTGGCGTTCAAAGCGCGCGTGTGATGCAGCATGTCTTCATCCATCTGAAGAAAGTCCAGGTTCCTGACGGTCCCTGACGGATCCACTCCGCTACTGGCCTTTGGTAGACTCGTAGACTGCATCGCCTGCTTTCATGGGACTGGTTTCAACATACGCCTGAATCCTCTTTTCGCACTCTCCTCTGAAACTCCATGAGCGAAATCAAGCAGAAGACGCAATTAATGCTGCTTCGGAGTATATTGTTTTGGTCACCCAGGGTGGTTTGACAGCACCTCTGCAACACCTCTGTAGCACCCAACTAAGAGCCAAACACCCTTGTAGCAGCGAAGCTCGGTGAGCAACTGGCCGTGGAATCACCGCGACACTTCACGCAGCATGGTGGTATGATAAGATCAAAGAGGGTTCCAGAAAGTCTTGCTTCTTTTGGTCTCCCTCATGATACTTGCTTGGTGCTGAGCTACAACAGAACCAGATCGGGGCCTTTCCATTTGAGGTAGATGGTCAATGTTTTGATTTTGCACTGATCTCATTTCTTGTTGTGAAGGCCAGGCAAAGAAGGATGTATATGTATATAAATAGTCTTTTGAGCCTCTTCAATCACACCTGAGTTGTTTAAAGCTGTCCAAGTTGGCTTCAAACCGTGTGCTACAAAGCATTCTCATTTATCAATCCACAACCGCAAAGGTCTTTTTGTTGAAACATGCCGGAACCACCTACAAGCAGGCTTGTCTATGTCTGGCTTTCTCTATTTCCGGCTTTCTCACAAGCATTCCCTTCACAACAATGAGCCATGACAAAGTCCAAACACCTACAGTGAAGTATCTAATTTCAGCTCATCTGGAATGCTGGAATGTAGCTCGTTTCACCCAGAAACCTGCGCTCCAAAAGAAACTCCTACAAACGTCGAACAGTTTGGGATGTTCATCTGCCGACTTCGATCATCAGCGCCTGAAAGCCTTCCTGGCACTCGATGGGGCAAATCTGGCCAGACCTTCGCAGTCAAACCAGAAACAAAGGGCTGCATCCATCGCATCTTGTCCTCTCGCTCCTCCCCTCACCTTTCCAAAAGCATCAAAAGCGCCTTTTAAGAGCCTTTCATGCTTTGGAACCCAAAGAATTTTTTGTGTTCTATGGCGGTTGGTGCTAGCCCAATTCTTCTCCATCAGGTTCAACCTCTCCCCATTCTCTAGCCCAACGGGTGAACCACGGCAATGAATCAGTAAATCTGTCCAGGCACTGCCGATTTGCACAAGCTGTGGTGTCCTTGGCGTGAGCCACCTGGCCAGGGTGGCTGATCATTTTTTTGTTTCCATTTATTCTTACATGTCCTTCCTTTTCTCTGTCCACTTCGCGACTTGAGACATTTAGACAGTGTCATATCGGGTTCATCTACTTTGTTCACGATCAGTCAGGGACCTGTCGCTTGCCCTTCTGGGCATTCATCCGATGGCTCACACTGATCCCTGCGAACCCTTGGGGGACACATCGAAGAAAACTGCCAGCAAAATATATGGAGATATATGGAAGAAGTGACATTCAGGCATGCATGAAGACTGCCCACGACTTCCCATGTACCAAGCACGATTCACCAAAAACCACAGCTTTGGCCACAAACGGACTTTCTCTCTTCTACATTCGGGGCTCACAACGGCCTTTGGCACACCCATGCAGGGAGCTTCCTGCGGTGAAGTGGCTAAACCGGTCTGAAGGAGAACGAATGAACATGAATGAACCAAAGCTGAACTTCAATGTGCCAAAGTTTCTCTGCAGTCAAGTGAACAAGAAAATCACCAGCGCACCAAACAGCAAATCATCCTCGCAAACCGCCAAGTCCAGCGAGGTCCAATCCTCGACATCGAGAAAGCTTCTGGTAACGGTCTCGCCCGACGGGTGGAACATGGTGGGACCCTTGGGGTTTCCATGTGAGTGGGAGGCGTTTACCGGGGTTTGGGGTTCTCAACAAGAACACGTCCCTTTACCTACAAAATTAGTCGTATCCCTGTCCAGTTTCCTTTTTTAGTGAAATACTCTTGTCGGTCTGCTCATGCCCATAGTATATATTAATTGGTTGATTCTTTGTTTGAAGCACATCAATCAACCACTGCCAACAGGGTACGTTCAATCAAGCCTCTTATAAAGCGACACGTTGTGCAAAATGTTCATTGAAGCCTACAGGCTATACTAATATATATTATGTGTATACATATACATATGTGTATAGCTGTTTGAAGCAAATGAACCTCCCGAGACAACTTGCTGGGCTAGCCTGGAATTCTTAACATCTGTTTCTAGTTCTGGATGAAACACTTTCCATGATGTGGTCAGAAAGCTTTACCACCATGGTGTGGGGTTTTGGTTTGTGAGCATACCCCTATGAAAACTTAAGAGCTAGAATTTGAATCGTCAGGGAGGACTTTCGTTGTTGTGTCCACGCTGCCAATTTGAATCGAACACCGAAACGATCTCGGCTCCCCAACACCCTTGATGCATTCAGGGAAGCCAGCGGCCTTGTGACGGGGATGAGTGCACCAATCTCTTTCACACATCCTGAGACACTGCTCATCAGCCCTAGTTGAAGAAATGGGAGTGCTTGAAGATAGCCCCTAGTCTTCTGGTTGGAGGAAAAGTAGGTGAACTCCCGATGGTTGGTTTTGTCGAATCTTCCTGAATCTTCCATTTCAGAATCCTCGGCCTGTTGTGATGATGGTGAACTCAATTACAATTGGAGCAAATTAAATGAAGACAATACAAAGTGCCCATTGATCCATCTAATCCAAAGCAAAAAAGTAGAGGTGTGATTTGGTGCGATATGGTGGTAAAGGATCTGAAGATCTTTTTGGGTGCCTTGTGGTTCCCAAGACGGCCAATTCGCTCTATCTCCATCTATCTCCGTATTCTATGCCTTTCTATGCTTTATGAGTGATGCTTCGTGTTTTGACTCAGCTCTGTCTTTCGGGACTCTCCCTGCATCAGGCGATCTCAGGTCTCGGACGAAGAAGCCCGTTTCACAGTCAAAACCTCAAAGCGCCAAAGTGCTAAAATAAGTGCACTCATCTGTAAAAAGTAGTTTTTTCAGTCTCGCCACAAGATTCCGACTACTTGTCACAAGGTCTAAATTCTGGTCCCCAGTCTCTGTGATCGCTTGATTTCACCTACAGCAAAGGGTTCACCACAAGCCAGTGTCTACAGTATGAATGAGCAACTACTGTACTGGAGATCATACTACAAAATCGAGTTTCAGGATCTTCAAAACACGAGGGCCTTTTTGTTGATCAAAGTAGTGTTTCCATTGGTCTGGCGACATTTGTGGACCTTTCGAAGATGGTTCAAGTTTGCCCAAAGTCCGTTAACAAATACTCGCTGACTCATCAAGGGTTGTTCATGTGAATGTTTGCTTTGTTCAGCACGAAAAATAGTCGGCTTGCCACTTAGTTTCAACTAATCGAGAGTTGTCCGTTGGATCAATATGTGCAACCCTGCTGTGTAGAGGCTCCAAGGGGAAATGGCACAGTCTTAACGAAATCCCGCTGAAATGCAACTGACAATGCGAGGACCCTCTCAGTTTTGCATCGGCAAACAACAATCCAGCGAGCCCGAACGCTGCGCGCAGCAGAGCACGGCCAGCGGCCAGCATGGAGTCACTAGAGCTTCGATCTGGTCTTGTCAATCTTTTCAGTGAGGCCTGGAGTCATCTGATTTTCCCGTGTATTTCAAGATCCCCGCAATGGGCCGCTCATCAAACATTTTGAGACAATCCAATTTGGCAGACAAATGCTCTATCTGGGTGAAGATTCTTCAACACACAGTGCAGAACAAAAAGTATTCGGGCTGTTCTTGAGTGACCTCTCCTTCGGTTTGTTTCGGTTTGCGGCAAACCCGGAACGGGCAAACAAACCCCACCTTTCAAACGGTTCTTGGCCAATAGAACGCAGTTCTTGGCTCCGATGACCGCCATCTCCATGGCGCTGGCGGCAGCTTCAATGGCATTGCAGTAGAATAAGCCGTGGTCGTCCAGGCAAAAGGGGATCTCGCGACCTCTCTCATCCTGACAAATTCCAAGTGCTTAATAGGAGCTTGCGTACGTACGGATTCTCTCTCCGGAACAAAGGAAGGACACAAGCATAGATCAAGAGGCAGTGCGTGGAATATCCTGTCACTGTAGCTAGTCTTTCAAGGGACATGTCAAAGAGTCCAAGCATCTGCGAGACAACCAGCAGTGGGTCAACTTTGTCACGGCTTAACATAGGGTGCTACACAAACTGTTGCATACAAGATTACAGGGATGCATTTCACAGAATCTATGGATTTAAATAGATTTACATGGTTGAGCCACGTCCACTTCTCTCTCCAAAGCTTCCTCCGTGTCATAGACGGGATATGCCCACCACGCATAGGTCTCTTGTGGCTTCTCCGGGAAGAGCGCCTTCTCGCTGTCCACGTCCTGGCTTTGCTCGCTTGGTGGCAAACTGGCCTCATCCCATCGCCCTGTTGGGTTTGTTGTGGTTTCCTGGTCCCGTTCCGGTCCCCTTCCGGTCCCGTCGCTTCGCTTCGAAATGTTCTCTTTTTGGATCTGTTCTTTGTGAGCTACACAATGGCATCTCGACCTTCCCCTAGGTTTGCAGCAGCGAGCCGAACAGAACCCTGTTCAGTTTTTCTTGCTTATTCGATTGGTGAACACAACCCAACATGTTGATCTTTGCCATATTCCTCTCGGAAAGTCCCAGCCGAAAGGAAAAAAGACTGGGTGTCGTGTTGGGCCTCGCTTTTCCAGCCTTTCAGGTCCAACGAAACCCATGCCTGTTGGGCAGTTCACACCAGAACACTTTGTAAATGGAAGAGTTTGTTTTAAACGAGGGCTCAAGAGGTTCCAACACCGTACACTACTTGTTCTCTCGCCCTGAAAAAAGCAATGTCAAATTGTCAAGTAGACAAGGTATTGTTGAACATGCCAATACTGTTGTCACTTTCTTGTTTCAAAATTGCCCCGTGTTCGTCCATGATTCGGATGACTTTGAATCTCCGAGAATCCAAAGGAGAGTTGCTGAAACTCTTCCAAATCTGGGGGCCACTGCCAGAAGTCGTGTCGTACTGTCCTCAGAGAGGGCTGGCTTGGTGATGTTGGCTCGCACTAGAGATTAGGTGAAGTGAGCTCCTAGGAAATCCGCGCACCTCCTGGCGCATACAAAGCAAATTGGGGGATGGATGATTTATGAAGAGAGGAGATGCAAGTCATCTTCCATTTGGAGGATCATTCACGCATAGTCCTCTCACCTTGAAAGGAATTGCCTTTGGATATATGGCATCATATGGCATCCTCACATTGCGCTTCTTGAGAAATACAAGGCTTCTATCAGCGGCTGCGCCATCTGTCCTTTGGGAGGATTTCGGGAGATTCCAAAGCTGGTCACTTCCATGTTTGCCGGTGGTGACCTCGACGAAAACATCCCCAAATGTATTGGAATGCCTCTTCATTTCTTTCTTCAACACGGGTGAACATTTTTGTGTTTCTCAAGGTGGAACACCCCATCAAATCCAATGTTTTCGTGATTTTCCTCAGCCATAAACTGTTGCATCAGAGTATCCAAGACTGTTGAAGTTACCACCAGCAGTGCTCAAGATGGTCCCTCCAGGTGGATCTGTGCACGCCAGCGACGAGGAGGTGGGAGGAACTCGGAAGAAGGTGGCAAAGATTTGCTGGTACTTCCGCGCAATGGTGAGCTTCTCCTGTGAGAATCCCCCTGGTCAAACTTCGCATGGTCGCACAACTTGGACTTGCTCAAGCATCATGCGTGCTGTCTCGGCTTTTCGCAGGGCAGACCAGCCACGCAAACACACACACACACATAGGCTACCTCCAGGTCAACCTTAAGAAAAAACCTAGGAAGGATTGTTCCCTGCAGCGCTGATTTCTCCAACTCAGATCCAGATCGACATGTATGCCTTTCCAACTTGGCAAAGGACGAGAGTGGGCATTGTTGGCGCTCTCAAGTCGACTTTTCGTGGCACCCGCAGCAGATTGGAGGCGTTTCCTCTGGTGGGCTTGGATTCCTTGGCAGGTGCAGTGAATCCTGTTGCTGATTCTTGGAAATTGGGCGATGTCTCGGGCAAAAGCTTTGTTTCAGTATCTTTAAGCGTCTGATTTCATGGCAGGCGCAGGGCATTGCGGCCGTCGATGCACAGATTTTACAGCAGGCGCAGCCATTTTGTCTACTTCGAAACCCAAGTGTGGTGGCAGGTGCCTCCAACTCATGCCAGTGGTAGCACGCCACTAAAACAAGTACTGGCTAAACCCTTTTGACTGAAGCTGCTAAATCCTCAGCTCAAACAACCTTTTGCCATGAGGACCAAATCTGTTAAAGTTCTATTCAAAGCTTGGCTGAAATAGGTTGCGGTCCTGAACTCTCAGCTGATTCATGGCCTGCCCATGTTCAGTGACTGAAGGTGCTGGAACTGCTGGCTCATGGAAAGCGATTTAGATTGTGCCGTCGCAATATGCTTGCCGCCCAGGTGTCCCTTTTGGGCATTTCTGAGAATGGGCAGACTTTCGATTGCTACAGCCGATATATCGGTTAGCGCCATACAAGGTGGTCTCAAACCGCGGTTTGCTTCATTGTACTCCATTCATGGCTGATTGCCTTTTTCAGCTTGTGATGGAACTGAGAGACCAGCTATCAATGCATCGCTATACCGCACTCCGTTACTCAGGGCAATGGTGCCAATTTGTTTCGCCATAGCGGTCCTTGGAAGCTACGATGATCTCAAGTTCGGAATCATACTGTGGCGCGGCCAGGAAGACCAAGTCATAGTCTTCCTGCACAAAACACAACGGAGATACATTACGCTGCCTCACCTAATCACCGACTGCTGATCTGGCACAGGACAATCAGCTCTCCCAAAGAAGGTGAGCAAACAAGAACCGGACAACAAGGTGTTTTGCAAAACACTTCGGACCAAATCTTTATTCTCCCCAACCTCTCCCGCTCGCCACTCCTCCCAGTGTTCTGCGCCACTGAGCTTCGCTTCCACCCGGTAGCGGGAAGCGTCAGAAGAGCGGGCGATCCGCAGCACCTTCCCACGGATCCACCGGGCGCCTCAGGGCGGATCAACCAGTGCACAGCAAAAACTCTCGTCAGAAACAAAAACACTTTCTTGAAACCCTTTAAAGAACTTCGAAAGAACTTGAAACCCTGTTTTCTTTTCGGAGTTTGAGGGCTCAGTTTCTCTCGTTTCCACCAAGAGGCTTGAAGAATCCAAGAGCTTCTCTGCGATCCTGGGCGATGTCTTTTTTCGGTTGAACGTCTGTAGGTCACTGTAGGTCTGTCGAGTGCTTTTGAGGTCAAGCAACAAGAGCGGGTGTTCCACTGGTTGTGGTTCAGGACCTTTACATTCTGTATTTTCACTCCATGTAATATGTACACTTTGTACCTTGCACATAGTAGGATGTCATGTCACCTTGACTTTGCAGCTCGCGGCCCAAAACAGGAGTTGCAGCTTAACGGCTGTTTCTATAGGTTATCAGCCGTAGTGCTCTAACCACAGCCATGGACGCTCTTGCTATTCCTGGGAACGGCACATCATCGGTAGCAGTCCCAGCCGGTCTCATGACTGAGCCCACGGTGGATCTAGATGACCCCATGGGTTCAGCTCCTGTCACAGCTTACTTTCAGTTTGTGCAGCAAAACATCCAACAAGTGTACAACGGAAATGAAGATGCTATCATTGCTGAGGCAGAGAGAAGGCACAAAGAGATAATGGGACAATGGTTGGAAATGGTAAAAACCAAGTTTCGTCAAGCAATCGATGAAGTAGCGAGCAAGCATCATGAGGAACTCAGTTCGGTAAGGCAGCAAGCTCAATCTAGCTACAACCAAGTGCAAGGGGAACTTAGCGCTGCAAAAGCGCGGATCCTAAAGCTAGAGAGTGAAAGGTCCATTGAGGCTGAAGCCAGAAAAGCAGAACTGGACTCCTTGCGCATCCAGCTCATGCACGATTGTCAGCAAACTGTCACTGCTATCACCAGCGGTGCCGAGCAAGGTGTGGCAACGCTTCGTGCAGAGTTCGATGAGCGGGAAACTCAGCTTCGACGTGAGCTACGCGACGCAGAAAATGAAAACTATAGCCTGCAGCAAATGCTCGATGACCTTAAAGCCAAAATGCATGCTGGACCCGAGCTAGAGTACCATCCAACAAGTGTCATGAACACACCAGTGTCTACCCCTGGGCATGATGACACTAAGAGGAAAAATCCTCTGGAGACCATTGCAGCAGAGGCTACTGCACGTTTGAGTGGACTGTTCGCACCCAAAGCGCCGACGGCCACCATCATCGGTGATGCCCCACCAGGGGCAGCTGCTCCTATCAAGCCCGTGCTTCCAGTTTACGGAGGCACAGCAGCGGATGGGGGCAAAACACCGACAAACATGTTCCATAGCCCTGCACCTTCAATTCGCGAACCCCATAAGCCAGCGTCGTCAGGTGCTATCACCTCTGAGCAGGTGATTGAATTGGTCAAGTCACTCACTCAAAGAGAGTCGGATGAGAAGCCAAAGGTAAAGGAGGCAGATCACATCAAGTTGAATGACATGCCAACCCCTGAAACCTATCGGCAGTGGAAACATCATGTGAGGGACGAAATCAAGTCATGTTCTGACAAACCAGATGCTGCCTGGGACTGGTTAATGGAGGTTTACAACACTGTTGATGAGAGGAAAGTTCTGGAAGAGCGGTTGTCTAACCCTGGGAAGTTCACAACGTTGGATACCAAGTTGGCAGCTGCGCTGACCAGAAGTGCAAAGGGTGATCTAGCAAACCGAATCATCAATTACAAAGAAGAGAAGGCAAGCTAGGCATCCAGGTTCGAGGAAGGATGATTCTTCTCATGTTCGATGACTATTTCAAGACCTCGGAAGAAGCGGGTAGCCTTTACAGGGTTGAAGATCTCCTCAATGTGGTAAAGGTAGGCGATACTGTAGCAGACTTGAAGCGTTTCATCAACCGCTGGGACGCTACCATCGCTGGTATGCCCGAACCACCGCACGAAAACGTGCTTCGAGACATCCTTTTAAGGCAGATCCGCACTAGCACAATCCTAAGGTACGACATTGACCTTTTCGATCGTGCAAAAGAAGGTGACCATCATCGGTCTTACAAGTTCCTACTGCAAAGCATCAAGGATCTGATAGATCGGGAACGCCTTCGTGAGAATCGATCACGTATCGCGGAGCGAAATCGGCTCAAGCCAGGTGATCGACGTGAGAAGAACGCCGCCCCTACTGTTGATCCTCGGCGAAAGCGTTCGCCATCGCGCGGACGATCCACTTCTCGGGAGAAGGGTATTTGTTGGGCCTTTTTGGAGGGAAAGTGTGCAAAAGGGAAAGATTGCAAGTTCAAGCATGAAAAGCCCAAGCGTGATCCTTCCAAGAAGCGCCAACCATCCCGGGAGCGGAATGAGTCGAGGGACAAAAGCACAGATAAGGAGAAGAAGCGGATGACTAAGGAAGAGATGGCGAAGACCCCATGCAGGTACGATCAACAAGGTACATGCAGAAGAGGAGACAAGTGCTTTTTCAAACATGGAGAAAAGGCAGCGCCGGCTCCGAAAACGAAGCCAAGAAAGGACTCCCCAAAGCCAAAGGCAAAAGGAGATACCAAGAAGGCTGCCATTTGCCTGAGCAATCGGTTTGCATGTCTTGCGACTGGTGTGCCCGGACGGTCATGTCTTAAGAAGTCCTGTCTTCCTCCAGCGAGAAAGAGGTCTAAGTCGTCTGTCCGAAGAACTACATTCGTTATGAAACCTGAAATTCGCACAATCCCTGCTCGCGGGGAACACTGCAAGATGGTCAAGCGTGAGCGCAAGTATAGTGTGCATTTTGCCACGAGCGATCGCGTGCCCAAGAGCGACCCAAAGGCAGCCCACATGGCCAAAGTAAAAGCTAGGCAGTTGGCTGAAGTTGTCCGAAGCTTTAATAGCGCAACAGTGCCCTCATGTCGTTTTCTGTGCACCGAGTCTTCGCTTACTTGTCGTGAGTGCCGAAGCTTGATCAAGTTGAAGACATGTCCTACTACCATCCCGACTATCGTTGCTGGTCCAGCACCAAGGGAAGGCAGGTTCTCATGGCTTGTCGATTCTGGGAGTGAGCAAGACCTCCTCAGCAGGAAAGTTATGGATGCTGCTGGTGCGGAGAACCCAAGACGGGCTCCTCACACCATCAGTCTCATTACTGCGAATGGGTCGACTGAAGCCAGTGAGGTAGCTGACGTCAAGATGAAGCAGCTACTGGAGCCTTGCACGCCGTATTTGCTGGATGAATGCCCTGCTGTGCTCTCAGTTGGCATCAAATGCCTTGACCAAGGGTATAGTTTCGTGTGGCCAGCGAACGGTACTCCGATCCTTGTGCGACCAGATGAGAAAATCGTTCAACTTCGCGTTGATGGTCATGTCCCAGTCCTCGACTCCGAGTGCAAAGTCTTTGGAAAGGGCAAGTTCAAGAAGGACAAGCCTTTGAAGAAGCTGTTTGCAATGCCGGGAGCAATCTCGAGCCCGTCGGATAAGAAAGAGGATGAGGGCATCGACGAGGAAGTGCCAGACGACGAAGAGAGCCGTTTGGTGCGATCAAGAAAAGTCGGAGACTTGATGCGTGAAGCACAGTCCGCAAAACACCAGTATCACCACTTCCCCAAGAACCCATTCTGCAAAGTGTGCCAGCGAGCAAGGATGCTTGCACCACAGGCACGAAAGAAAGGGGGTGAGAGCCGCATTCAGACTAAGGCCCTTGGTGATCATCTGATCGCCGACCACGTCGTCGTGCGCGCGAACATCGAAGAAGGGAGTCGTGGTGAACGGGTAGCTTTGGTTGTGAAAGACCTGCATACAAAGTTCCGGAGTATTTACCCATCCCAGTCAAAGAGTTCGGATGAGGTAGTGATTGCTCTTCAGCATTTTGTTGCCCCGGATGATGCAGTCGAGGTCATTTACACCGACAATTCCCGTGAGCTGATAGCTGGCATCAAGGAGTTAGGGTATCGCCACCAAACCTCCGTTGAGTACGTGGACTCCTCCAAGAGCTTCATTGAAAGGGAAGTTAGGAACATGCTTGAGGGAGCACGCACCAATCTTGTTCAGTCCGGAATGCCCCTCCAGTACTGGCCACTCGCCATTCAACATTTTGCAATGGCAACGAACACGAGTGATCAGCTGGACTCATCTCCAAGCCCATGGGAACTGCGTTTTGGAGAGATGTTTGAAGGCATGGCCATTGCGTTTGGTGCAAAAGTACTATTCTGGAACAACCCCAATCGAGCCGACAATACAGCAGGAAAGCTGTCGCCCACTTCGGTGGAAGGTGTGTTTCTTGGTTATCATGTACAGCCAGGACACAAGTGGCGTGGGGAGTACCTAGTTGCTAAGTTGGAAGCACTAGACTACCATGTTGAACACAACAGTTTGACGATCCAGAGGACAAAGAAAATTGAGCTCCTTCCAGGCGGTTTTAGTTTTCCGTTGCGTGTCAAACAAGATCGTAAGGAAGCTATCCCTGATGACCCAAAGCTCAACCTTATCGAGTCTCCCAATCCGATTCCACTTGCGGATGCTGACCTTGCAGAGTACACTCCATCCGAAGCCCCAGAAGGTGTACTTGAACAGGGGGGTGTGGAACCCGAAATTGAAGTCACGGCAGCTGACAAAGCCGAGGACTACAAGCCCGACACTACGCCGGCCGGGGTCCCTATTCCTGAAGGTTACCATTGGGATGGTCTTCGAGTGGTGAAGACGTACAAAGGCAGCAAACGCCCCAAGGACATTCCATCGGATTATTGGAAAACGCTCGGCCCAAAAGATCGAGCAAAGTTGCTGAAAGAAATGGACGAAGCAAAGTCATCCTCCAGCAAAGGTTCAAAGACCACAAGTCCAGCGACTTCTTCTCAGCTCGGTTCATGCCGAAGCCCTTGTGTTTCGGACACAAGTACCAGCTGGGAAGCCGTGCCCACGCCGCAGATGAGGTATGGAGCACCTGCAATGCCGCGGAAAGTGCTTGATCAACCTGAGCCGCATCGTCTTCCGATTCGGGAGCTTATCGCACAGCGTATCAAGCAAATCGAATTCCAAGTCGCATTCGAGCTTTTCTGTGCAGTTGCCAGGCTCGTTCCTCGCGATGAGGTTTCTCGAACTCCGAAGGCCAAGGCAGCGTTGGACGCTGAGTGGGAGCGACTAAGAGCCAAGGGAACATGGGATGAAGCCCGTGTTCAGGAGTGCCGAAAGGTCGTTAGTGA